TCCCGCCATGCCCGGGGTAGGGGGCTGCTCTCCTACCTCGCGCGGGGGTGAGGGTGCCTGTCTTGTCCCCCGCCCCCCGCAGGTTTCATAGTACCCCAGAGCAACGGGGGGGACCCACAGAGATCATCTCGTGCCCCTGGCAACCATCCCGTCACCTAACCGCCCCCCTTAATGACCGGATGGTTGCACAGGGTCACACGCGATGACCCCGCCATGGACCCCTCCCCTGCCCCGACACCCTGGTCCGGAGCTCGGGACTTTGCCAGTCTTGTTAGGAGCTGGTTTTTGGGGGACTTTTTTTTTTCTGTCCAAGAGGTGAATTGTAGATATGCCGTCTTTCTGTCCTTGCTGTTCCATGGAGGGGCCACCGCGCCAGTGGGAGGAGGTAGCCAGGGACTGTTGGCCCCCACCTGCTTTGGGTAGTGGGGCTGCAGGCCCACGCTGAGGGGGCAGCTCTACAGGCATAGAGGAGTAGGGCTGGCCTGTTTGTCACCCTTCAAAATCATGTGGGGCCAGCCCCCCAAGTTTCTCCTGCCTCCTTCAGATGGGGAAGCTACAGGAAAAGGGGACAACAGATTCCTTGGGACAAATAATACAAAAACCAGGGATGGGAGTGTTGACTGTAAGTTCAAAACGGGAGTGCCAAGGGAGCACACCACAGTGCCCATTGGCCCTCAAACAAGTCCAGGGAGCCAGTGGGCACGGCCCACTGATACTGTGCTCAGAGACGGGAGAAGTAGAGCTGGAAGCGCCTCCAGAGCTCATCTAGTCAAGTGGTTCTCAACCTCTTTGGACTAGAAGCCCCCCTCCCAACTTGCAGCCCCCTGGCCCTGCCAGTGCCCCTCGCTCCTGACCCACAGTCCCCCACCTTCCCCCAGTCCTGCTGGTGCCCCCCACTCCTGACCTACAGCAGGGAGGGGTGTGCGGGGCAGGGGGAAGGAGGTACAGGGGTGGCATAGCCCGGCCATTGCCACTCTCCTCTGGCTGCCTGTGCCAGCTCCTGCTGGCAGGTCTGGCCAGACTGCAGCCCTGTGTCCTTTGTGGGCACAGAAATTGGAGGGAGGGGGATGTCCCCCCACTCCAATGTGTCACCCGTTCTCCCCCCCGGCCCCCCGACTTGCCTGCGGGCAGCTATGGGAGCTGCTCTGCACCGCTGGTTGGCTGGTGGGTGTGTGTGTGTGTGTGTGCGCGCGCGCGCACATGCCATGGTGCCCTCTACCAGAACAGCCTACTCCCACTACCCGCAGCCCTATGCAGCCCCAAGGCACACCTGTGGAAGGAGAAAACGTGTCTTTTTTTTTTAGTGAACCTGGTGGTGGTGGCAGCAGCAGGCTCTGCTGGGGCACAGGCTGCCCCAGACAATGTGAGAGATCCCCCTTGTGCCACATCTGCAGATCCCCTGAAACTTGCTTATGGCCCCCCAGGGTGCTTTGGACCCTCAGTTGAGAACCACTGATCTAGTCCAACCTCCTGCCTCAGGCAGGATCACCCCTTTCCAAACCATCCCATACAAACCATCATCTAAGCTCTACATAAGACTGCTGTTGACTGACACAACACAGACCTAACACCCTAACCTGCCATAGGTAAAGCAAGGGAACCGCAGCAGCCAACGTCCTGCTTCTATAAAATGTTGGCAGTATACGTGTATGGGGTTGGGCATCGAAGATGAAAGCATGCAGCTGGTTTTTCCTGTGTTTCTGGTGCCCCCTACTCCTTTGCCTGTCTCGTTTTCCACAAATCAGACAGTGTGGAAGAGCAAGTCCTGGGGTTTGAGGGAGGACTAGATTGGGCTGGAAGTGCAGGCATGTTTCAATATAGTCCATGCTTCCATGTTCACACCTATTTTTCCACAGGACCTCTGCCTCGTGTGCAGGATAGAGGGTGCTTACCTTATAAGTTGCTGTTCACATTTTGATTTGTTTCCCGCCCCACACTCCTTGGCCTAGTACCTTATTTATGGCCCATGAATCCAAATGGGTTCTGAAGGCAGAATTTCTGATTTCTTCAAGCTTTTCTAGGATGCTTGACACTGCAGTATCTGTGTGTGGTTCACAAGCATTAGTCCAGTCTTTGTGTGACAGCTGAGATGAGCTCCATTTTATAAGTGGTGAATTGAGGCAGACAGATCAACATAAAAAGCACTGGCTAAATATGGCTGCCCAGTGGCGAGACTGGGACCTAATTTGCAGGGTATTTAGCATTGTGTAGCTTTTTACAGAGCACAGCTTCTTTACACAGTAACTCTGTGCCAGAAGCAAGGGTAGAACTTGAATGATCCAGGGGAGCATTCACTTTAACCATGGGACCATTCTTTCTTTCTGCAGTCCCTGGTCTTGTTTGCTACACACTGTTCAACATCTTCAGCAAATGGGGCAGGGGGCCTAGAATCAAGTCTCCTTCACTACCTAATCCTGACTAATTCTCAGAGAAGCTCCATCTTGTGCCCTGAATGAGGTAGGGGTTCTGTGGAAAAAAAATAGCTTATGATCGTATAAATAAATACTGTACTGTGTCCACACACTCATCCTTAAGTCTTAATTTCTGAGTGCTTGACTTTGCAACCTTAATGATTTTTAATGTGTAGTCATCTTTCAGTGTGTGGGACAGCATGACCTTCTCTTCCTTTTTAATCTCTTTCTTGGTGCTGTTGAGAGAGAGCTAGACTAAGAAGCAAGGGCAAAAATTACACAGGCACTTGGGTATGGGGACGCAAAGTGTTCCTGCACCTATATTTCAAGCACTTGGTCTTGAGTATGGAATATATAAGTTCAAATTATGTGTGTTAAGTATCCCCATTTAAAGTATAAGGAATTTAGGCACCTGTAAATGGGATGAACAGCATAGCATACTGAGTGAAGGATACTTAAGCTAGTGAATAGGATACACAGTACAGAAATATGTCTGAAATCTTGCCTCTTTCCCAGACCCTTAGAGGTAGGTAGGCCTCTACCTCCCTGAAGTCCTGTGTTAAGTGCTTATCTCAGCCTGGCTTTGACAACCTGAAACTACTGCTTGGATCTAGGAAACTAAGTGGTCATCCATTTGTTTACAGGCAGCTGGTTCTTTCTTTAAAGCCTGTAGGAGTTATCTACTCCTTGCCCAGTTATCTTGTGAATAAAGCTCTTGCTGAAAATTGGGTGACCTGGGTAATGGGCCCTCATCAGCCTTGAGGGCATTGACATTTGCCAAGAGAGTATCCTAATGGCCATGCTGTGCACTAGGCAGGGCTGATGGCATCCTTCATCCCTTCTGTTGAAGTTGGGCAAATGTGTGGAAAGGAATACAGAAGTCATGGGACCAGAAAGACCAGCACAATGGGGTGTGACTTTGTAGGATGGCACTTCCTTAGGACTTGGGGAGTCCTAGGGCATTTATACATGTACCTTTGTTTCAAAGTGCTGGAAATCCAGCACGTCAGAGCAGGCTTGATTTAATCGAATTTGCAGAGCCTGCAAACTGACACATCTGGCTCTGTTGCGTGCATTTGGATAAATGATGAAATGCACATCAGCACGCAGAAAATGGCGGTGGTGCCCTTTTGAACTAAAACACCTTCTTTGTGTTTTAGTTCAAAAGCACGCCAACGCTGTTTTCTCAGCACTGGTGCACATTTTGCCATTTATACAAATGCCCCCAGGTTCTGGCCTCTGCTTCAAGTTCAGTTCCTATAACTAATTCAATGACTAATGAACAAATAGGCACCAGAACTGGTTAATTGTTTGTACAGGGATGCAACTCCCGGGCTCCATGTGCAGTCCCACAGGCATGGCCCTGTGTGCTTGATCTGGCATGTGGGTGCAATGCAGGGCCTGGTACTGGCATGTGGAACCTAAACTTTGAGCACCACTCACCATTTTTCTAATGCATCAAAAATGGAAAAAATCAGTAACAGTTTGAACCTGCTAAGCTATAGAATCATGTGAATAAATAAATATTTTAGAGTGTTATTTTGGGCAGCAGAAAAGATGTACCAGTTGTATTGCAGAGGCTCTGCTTAGCTGCAAATCTACGCGTCTTAGTGCTTATATCAAGCAATAAGAGTGCACCTGTCTTAAGAAAATAACTGAAGTACAAATGAAAAGTTGGCTAAAATCAGCGGTTGAAATCAAGGCTTTTCATCTGATGATTGAAATTGCCTTTATTTAAATACAGTTCAGCCTGGTTAAGATAAAATAGAGATTTACAAAATTGTAGATGAGCAGCTAAAATTAGTGAGGTGCTTGGAGGAGCTCAGGTTATGAGCTGACTTCGCTTTTTGTAGGTAGAAGCAGGGAAGGGTGACACCTCAAAAAGTAACTTGTTCCGAAAGACATAAATATCCGTTAGCGTGTTCATTTGTTGAACATGCTTATGAAAGCTGTTGCTTATGACAGCTTATGCCTAGGGGTCTTCTTAAATTGTGGTTTCTCAGTTTTTGTGGAAACAGTGAAAAATGGCGTTTCCTGTGATTTTGCATGGAATCACCTTAAAAAAAAAACAAAACTTACTGGAATACAAAAAGTGCAGCAATTCCTCAGCCACAGAGCATTTGGTTTGAGAGAGCTACTGTGCGGCTGAGCTAGTGACATATAGGCTCTGTGAAGGCACCAGTCAGGAAAGCATAAGGGTTTCAGCACCATGTTTTAAGAAGCCAGATGCAATGCTGCAGTGTGAAGATGAGTGATTGGCTTCTCAGCTAGTCAGCAGCAGGGGGTAGGGTTGCCCTAAAAAGACCATGAAATTGGCTCTGTACGCCAGGAGCAGCCTGCGAAAAGTAGTTTGTTTCGCTGTGATTTAGGTAGGTCCCGACTTATCCCCTTCTGAACAAGTTACTCTCTCAGGTGCCACCCTGCCCTGCTTTCTGTCCAACTAGACTAACATGTCCAACTACCTCTCTCTCTCTTTTCTCTCTCTTTTTGAGCAGGCTCCCTTAAAGACACTGTCATAGTGATTAGGTCCCCAAATGTTTCCTTCTCTTTACCTTGTATTTCCTGTTTTGCTTTGGGTAGCTGTTTTCATTCCTTTACTGATCTGAGTGATCTCTACCATGCAGTGGTATAGCTGAAGGGATAGCATGTGAGTGAAGAGCAGTCAGTATGACATCTGAATGCCATTAACTACAGACAATGGCTCATGAATTTTCCAGTAGCTTCCTGCAGTTGTTGAATGGGATGTATTGATAACAGATGAATAAGAATCTGTAGTCAGTGCTTGGGCAGCAGAGGAGAAATTGATCATCGCTGGATCGCATGAAGTTCAAGAGTAAGATCTTCTCTAGTTCACAGCTTTTGATTTAATGTGTGCCACTGTGTTAAGGCAGGATATTGCACAGTGCCCCATGTCACCCCAGGGTGCTGCGTCACTGGTTGAGAATCATTGTTGTAAGGCCCACAGGGATTGTTGTGAGCTTGTCACATAACACTGACTTCCCTGAACTCATTCCTGTGCTATGTCCAGGAGCCTTGGCTGAGTTTGAGGATGGCTTTCAGGGAAGAAAAGCATCCTTTCCTGATTTCAACCTTCCCAGTGAGGGAAGAGCAGTCAGTATGACATCTGAATGCCATTAACTACAGACAATGGCTCATGAATTTTCCAGTAGCTTTCTGCAGTTGTTGAATGGGATGTATTGATAACAGATGAATAAGAATCTGTAGTCAGTACTTGGGCAGCAGAGGAGAAATTGATCATCGCTGGATCGCATGAAGTTCAAGAGTAAGATCTTCTCTAGTTCACGGCTTTTGGTTTAATGCGTGCCTCTATGTTAAGGCAGGATAATGACATCCTGCAGTTAATAGTATTTAATGCTATGGAAAGAACCAGTCATTTGAAGATGCCGGTTGCAGTCCTGTCACTGGACAAAGAAACTGGTTGGTCTGAAACGTAATTTGCTGGGTCTGTGTTCTTGAAATTGAGGAGGTATAGTCAAATAAAGCTCTTAATTAACAAAGCATGCTTCCTAATGTTAACGCTATATATTAGGAATGGACTTCGTACTTTTTTTCTGTCTGGTCTTTAGTACAGTGATGTTTCTTTCTTATGTTCTGTTTTTTCTCTGTTTGCTTATAGTCTGTCTTCATTCAGTGTTCTCATTCTGTTGTTTTATTTCATGTAGTCTGTCCTCTAGCTAATTAAAGCACAACACATAATGGTCTTTTGAAATGTTTTATTAGATTTGGCATACTGATACCATAACAAAATATGTTACTTGGATGCCTGATTGCTGTGAGACGATTCAAATATCTCAATTTATTTTAAAAGGTTCAATTTATAGGGTTTTTTAAACTTAAGGTTTCCTTTTTCAGATGGCTTTTTTTAAAAGCAAATCAGGGTGTTTTTTCTCCCCAAGTAACACTTTTTTATCAGCTTAAAATACTATTTTCTCCATTTAAAAAGTGTTCTCACATGAAACTGTGACATCTCTGCAGTTAGCACTGCAAAATAATATTTAATGTCATGGCAGAATGGGTGCATGACCATAGTTAAAGTTGCCTAGAAGTTTTCAGGTTTATTATCTTCAACCTAAGAATATTATGTTCTTGCTGAAAATATTTCATGTTGAAATGCGCAACATTTACATACTAATTTATAATTTTCTGTGTACTTGTTGTAGGTGAATTACTTTGTGAAATATTTGTTTAAACCTCTTCTGAAAGATACTTCTGTATCCTCAGCCTTTCTTTTGAAATCCTTTTTCTAAACAGGACAAAAGGGCCATGTCCAGACAAGTGCAGATGTGTGGTATGTAATACCATCTGCAGTGCCATGCACTGCACATGCAGGCGTGCCCCACGCTGCTGCTTTGCAGCGCAGGGGTATTTTTTGACCCCAGGAGATCCCAGCAGGGTGGCGCACGTGGTAGCAGTGCACACTGCCCAAAACCAGAACCTTCCCAGCCAGAGCCACACTCCGACTGCTGGCCAGGCTTCCTGCTGCAGGAGCCACTGTGGCTGCAGCTCCCGGAGGCCCTTGGGACCCCAGGTAAGCTGCTGGGGCCTGTCACAACCCAGTGATTTTGGTGCCTCGGCACGATGGAATTTTCTTGCCACATGAGAGCCTCTTGCACAGCGAAGGTTTTTGCTGCACAGAAGAACCTCGGTGCAAGAGACTTCCCGCCAATTTGCAGGATGTGTTCCTTCCTTGCAGCACAGAAATGCACAGTGCAAAGAGTTCCCGCTATTCGAATGCAAATTTGTGTCCCACTATTGGCCAGTTCTAAATTATTCACACGTGGCGGCTAGTAATTTGCCTGTTAGCCGTTTAAAATTTCGTGCGACTTCCGCCCAAGTCGAAGAACTTTGAGCACGCTGCAGAGTGCCTCTAAAGAGATCTGACTTGCGGCTAGCTGATCGATAGACTGATCACCTATCGATCCTTCTTCCCATCGCCAAGCGCAATCCCAGACGTACCCTTTTCCCGCCGGCTTGATTTGCGGATGGATTAACTGGCTTGGGTCTCGCCAGCTGGAACAACCCACGTGGTTGTTCAGACGACCGGACCATCTGCGTCGCAACTACAGGCGGCGTAAGTAAACGTTTTTGCAACCATTAAACCTTGTCTGCCTCTCCATTCACCAGCCTGCCCTGACGAACGAGCAATTTCTAAATCACCTCGAGTCGGCTCTGGCCGTCCGAGACAGGGCCAGCAAAGTTGCTTGCCCCAGCCTCCCCTACTCCACCCTGGGGTAACCTGCTGCGCACCAGAGTGTGCGTGCCACAGGTGTTTCCCGAGGACAAGTAGTGGCACAAGGTGTGCCACTGCTGTTTGTCCCTGGGGAAATGCATGTTTCCGCTTGTCTGGATGCAGCCAAGAAGTTTGAATTAAAGCTGCTAGTTAGCATGCCTCTGAAATTATAGCCAATACTTATTGTATTGTCTTGTTTTCATAATATTTTGGTAGTGGTGGTGGTTTGAGCATTTTGGGGGAAAACATCAATTTCATATAGTAGTGCTCATCAGATCTGTGGATATATATATTTTTTAGATACCTGCCAAGGAAAAAATGGTTTCCATTTTTGTGGGAATTCTACTGAATTGTTCATATTTTTTTAAGGTGTTCAGAATTTCTAATTTAATTCTTGTTGTTTATTGTTGCATGTGTTTGAAAGCACTTTCCGATTAGTCATTTTCACAGCTCTAGGGTTGTTAGATTTAAGTTCTGTTAAATAATTTGGAGACCGGGTTCAAAATATAAATGTGTGACTATGATTTAGACAACTAATTTAAAAAACAAAAAACAAACCCAGTCTGAATTTATAACTTTTTTTAGAAAAATAAAACTTCTTTTTTTTTTTTTTCAAGCTCATATACCATATGCATTTAGGAGCACTTTTCAATTATTTTTGGTGTGAATTACTTATTTTGTCAACTACGGATACTGTAATGCTGTCACTTAGAATCTGATGGCTTTAATAATAGAATATGCTTTTTAAAAAGGAAGAAAAGGTGCTCATTGAATCTTTGCCTCTTTGAATAGCACACTTATAAAATAGGAAATTCAGGAACAAAACTTACCCTTTCTCATCATCCTATTTTAAAAATTAACATCTGTGTTAGAGCTTGAATGATTCACTCAGGTGATTGTTGAGGTATTTGCTTTACAGGGTACCACTACTCAGATCACTTGCAGTTCATCAGTGGTCTTACACAGGTGATCAGAGAAGCTGCGTCTTTTGAAATAAAAGGTGCAGCTGTAGTCCTGTGCAGCTGTGTGCTGTGGCTGTATTTATATAATATTCATAGGAAGGTTAGCAACCTGACTAACCACGTGAAGCATTTGGGTTCTACTGGAGAAGGTTAAAGTTTATTTTACTTGTCTTATTATTAGAAATGTAATTTTTTTTATCTTTACAAAATTGCACCCAGTACTTGGCACCAAATAAAATGTGGCGTGATAATTTTTCATTTTTTGTTTTAAAGCAGTGCATATTATTAAACCATATTTGTTGCACTTGTACAAAGTTGCAGTCCTGTCCCCCCTCACTCCAGTCGTCTTTACATCACGATACATGATACAGCTTGTCATGTGGTGATTTGGTGACTTGTCTGTGCTACCTTCCAAACTCTGCCTTGCAAGTCAGCTAGAGTGGTGGTTCCCAACCTTTTTTGTACCAGGACCCATTCGTAAACATCAATGGCTAGTTCTGTCCCAGTGCCCCTCGCTCCTGACCCACTGCCCCCAGCCCCCCCAGTGTTTGGGTTGGGGTGGACCCAAACAGCCCCTTGCAAGAAAACTGTCAGCCGGCTAGGGAAAAGCCACCGTTTCCCATGTTTTTCTTTTATAGATTTCATAGACATTAGGGTTGGAAGGGACCTCAGAAGATCATCAAGTCCAGCCCCCTGCCTGAAGGGCAGGAAGTCAGATGGGGTCATAGGATCCCAGCAAGATAAGCATCCAATTTACTCTTGAAGGTGTTCAATGTAGGCGCTTGAACCACCTCCGATGGCAGGCTATTCCAGACCTTGGGGGCTCGGACAGTAAAAAAAATCTTCCTTATTTCCAGCCTGAAACAGTCTTGCACTAGTTTAAAACTGTTCGACCTTGTCATCCCTTGGGGCGCTCTGGTGAACAAACGTTCCCCCAGATACTGGTGGCCGAGTACAAGGGGAGAATGATGTCCCAGGATTTGCTTGAGAAGCATCTATGGACGCAAGCCAACGTTTTGGTCGCTTTACTAGCTGCAGCATTGCATTGCAGGCTCCTGTTCATCTTGTGGTCAATGATGACCCCCAAGTCTCTTTCTTCCATAGTGCTAGCCAGTGTAGCACTGCCGAGCCTGTAGGGATGCTAGAGGTTTTTCCTCCCAAGGTGGAGAACCTGGCATTGTTCAGTGTTAAACACCATCAGGTTCTCATCCGCCCATTTGCTAAGCCTGTCCTGACTTTTGGTATGGATGCTTTGCCCCAGAGTTTGGTGTCATCAGCAAACTTGGCCAGTCCGCTTCTGACTTCAATGTCCACATCATTAATGAAGATGTTGAACAATATGGGTCCAAGGACAGAGCCTTGGGGGACCCCACTGGTCACAGGGCACCATGACAATTGACTTCCATCAACCACCACCATATGGGTCTGACCACGGAGCCAATTTCCCAGCCAGCAGATCATGGTGAACCCAAGGCCACAATTGGCCAGTTTTGCCAAGAGGTGATCATGGGATACCAGATCAAAGGCTTTTTTGAAGTCAAGATATATGACATCAATCTCCTCTCCCTTGTCCAGGTGATAGGTCACCTGGTCGTAGAAGGAAATGAAATTGGTCAAGCA